CAACTTGTGTTTTATATTTTCTTATAGCTGGAAATCCTGATCTTGCAAAGACTTTATGCACTGTGAATAGTCCCATCGACTTCAATGTGACTACTCACTCTGCAATAAGTTAAGCATGTGTATAAATCTTTAAGGGATTTGAACCACAGAATGAAAATGTTGATGTTTATGAGAAAATACACAATAAGCATATACTGACATAAAAACAAAGAGTAACTGAATGATTAAAGACTAGCATGTATACAGCAACAACCTAATTCCAATGCATATGAAGACCCTCAACTGCTTTTTCAAGAGAGTAAAAATACAGAGGGTAGGCCTGAATCTCCACTGCTTTGCACTTTGTTTAATCACTTAGATGTGTGTAAACTGAGAGTACCAGTGTGGTTTGGTGTGTGCAGTGTAGTTGTACCCATGTCCGTCCTAACTGACCAATTTTTTAATGGACCAACTTCTATTGGTGATAGAGTCAAGCTTTCAAGCCACACAGACCTCTTCTTCAGGTCTGGGAAAGGAACTCCCAGCATCACAGCAAAATGCAAAGTGTAACAGAGGTTTGGTCTACACTGGAGGTGGGGAAGGAATCGATCTAAGTTACGCAACTTCAGCTATGTGAATAACGTAGCTGAAGTCGACGTACTTAGATCTACTTACCACGGTGTCTTCACTGAGGTAAGTCGACGGCTGACGCTCTCCCGTCAACTCTGCCTGCGCCTCTCGCCCTGGTGGAGTACCAGAGTCGATGGGAGAGCACTCAGTGGTCAATTTATCGCGTCTAGACTAGACGTGATAAATGGACCCCCGCTGTATCAATAGTTGCCTGTCGATCCAGCGGGTAATGTAGACAAGCCCAGATTGTTTAACATAAATAGTTAGCACATACTGTAAGGGATCATTCAAGGCAGAGTGCCCCATTAATATTTGTAAGCGTGTAGGTGGGTGTGGCTCTCCCTCGCTGTCAGTCTCTGAGGGAGACCACGCCCCTTTGCTGACACACTCCTGAAACCACAGTCTAAGTAAAGGGGGAAGTTAGCGGTCTCCGGCTCCAACCCTTAGGCAGGGTAGCTGCGAGTGGTTCGGGGGGGGGGGGGGGCAGGCCCTCAGCCAAGGCAGGGCACCAAACAAACAGTCTAGAATGCTGGTAGGGGTTAGGAACCCAGCAAGAAATCTAGGGGGCTGGCAGAGGTGACCACCACCACTGTCCTCCTGGCTCTGGTGGGCGACAGACAAACTCAGGCCTCTTGGCCTAAGGAGGCGGAATACTGCCATCCTGAGGGGAGTGGAGTGGCAGGGGTAGGGAGACACAGGCCCTCCCGACTCCACTGCATCCCAGGCCAGAGCCATAACAGTGGCAGAGTGGTCTGCCACTGGGTCAGCAGGGAATGTTGGAACGCTGCCTCCCCTCCCCAGCTCTGTCTCCCCTGCTGTGGGAGGTGGGGGGCTGGCATCTCCACTTGCTCCCTCCACATTGCACCCCACTTTTTTTTTCTCCAAAAGTGGGCATCTGTCCCGTTTGCTCTTGCCAACTGATCAAGGTAGCAAGAGCAAACGGGACAAATGCCCACTTTTGAAAAAAAAAAAAAAAAAAAAGAGAGTCAGGAGAGAAGGGACAGGGCTTAAAAAAGAGACTGTCCCAGCCAACACGGGACGTATGGTCACCCTAGCCTAGTGGGCAGGCAGTCCAGATCAGCAGTCAAGAATTTATACAAAGGTTCGAAAACCAGGAGATCCAATCCGAGGGGAAGAAACTTGGAGAAGTTAAGTATGAAGCTGACTGCGAAGACTTACAAAAGGACCTCACTAAACTGGATGACTGGGCAACAAAATGGCAGATGAAATTCAATGTTGATAAGTGCAAAGTAATGCACATTGGAAAAGTAATCCCAACTAAACTTACAAAATGATGGGGTCTAAATTAGCTGTTACCACTCAAGAAAGATCTTGGAATCATCATGCATAGTTCTCTGAAAACATCTACCCAGTGTAGAGCAGTAGTCAAAAAAAAACCTATGCAATTATGAAATAGCGGACAAGGAGTTATTTGCCATCAAGGCTACATTTGAGAATTGGCGACACTACTTTGAGGGGGCCAAACATCCCATCCTAGTTTTAACTCACCATAAGACTCTACAATATCTATGATCTGCCAAAGCTCTGAATCAGCATCAGTTGTGTTGGACCCTATTCTTTTCAAGATTTGATTTCATAATGATGTATCATCCAGGCAACATGAATGGCTAGGCTGATGGCCTCTGATGAAAAGGGGAATACTATACACTAACCCCAAAGAACTGCCACCTTACACATTAAATCCACACCATTTAATTTGTGGGTCTGTAGCCTTGGACTTCCTTACCATGCTTTGAGCAGCTCTCCCTAATGATCCTTTTTTAAACTCATAACCTCATCCAAGGAGGATCTCCCTAGTACCACCGCATGCCACTATTCCTGGGTCAATAACCTCCTCTATGTCAATGGCTCCCTCTACAACCCCAAGGGTTTCCCAAGATGGGAAGTGCTGTGCATACATCATGATACCCCTTAGGCAGGTGACTTTGGGCAATCCAAGACTCTGAGTTGTAGCCCGCTCGTTCTGGTGGCCACAAATGCAGGATGACATTTGGTCCTACATCAGGTCCTGCAACATCTGTGCTTGCACAAAACTCCTCTAGAGCAGGACTTTCAGCCTCCTGATGCCAATGTGGGATCCTTTCCTGGCCCTGGTCACATATTACCCCTGATTTTTATAGTGGAATTACCCGAATCTGAAGGCCTAACATCATACTAACTGTCGTGGACCAACACACCAAAAAGGCCAATTTTGTACCATGCACATGTGGAAACTACTGAATGCCTTCTAATTACACATATCTTCTGTCTCCATGGCCTCCCAAAACATCTTGCCACAGACTGTGGCTTCCAGGTCATATCCAGGTTCTGGAAGGTTGGGTTTCCCTCCAAAATATCCAGATCATGCATCCACCACACATCACCCTCAGATGGATGGCCAAACAGAAAAGGTCACCCAGGTGCTTAAACAATAGACTGACAAGTAGGTAGGAGTGATGACTGTGTATTAGATATATAAGTAAAGCATGTCTGGAATGCAAAGCCTAGAGGCTGAGGACTGTAAGATTTTAGTTTAGCCATACTAGGTCATAGGCTTAAGAATGCTTGACATGAGTGGGTAACCTAGGAATAGCTATATGCTAGGAAGGTTAGAAGATGACTGTAAAAGATGGGCCAATAGGTGATGTTATGGAAAAATAGACCGCAATGTACTGTCAAAGACCACAAGACGCCTGATTGTAACATCATGGAATGTCCTGTTCTGACTGCAGGTTACCATGGACACATGTTGTGTGTAGATGCTAATGAGAATAAGGGGAACTAAGATAACAACCTATGAAAAACGGGGCACCCAAATATTCATGGGGTGTGTAAGTACAGATAAGGAAAAGAGTATTGAAACCTTCAGGCATATGCACAGGGTGTTAAGTATGGTCAGAACAACAGTATAAAAGAGATTCCCTGGTTGGGTAAAAGTGGGAAGACCCACAGGAAACCCCAGCAGGAACCACCTCTACCCTCGGTTCAAGTTCAAGACCACGAGACATATCTCGTCCATGACAGCCTGGACTTCCAAATGCATGGAGGGCCCCTGTATTATCTGATCAATTGGGAGGGTTATTGGCCCGAAGAATGCTTTTGGGAGCCAGCTCATCATGTGCACACCCCTGCAAAAGTATGGACCTTCCACAGGAATCATTCAGAGAAGTCTGACCCCATGGATTATCCTAGGAGATGGGGTGGCATCAGGCACCACAGGTCTTGATCCCAGGCCTGGGCAGCTGCCAAGCAGGAGCCTAACTCTGTATACCATCATGTTGCAAGAGCTGATGAGGGAACTGCTGCTAATACCCCCTTCCCCCACCAGAAGCTACACCTGCTGATTCAGTGGGGTCAGATGACTAACAGCAGACGGCTGATTGGACACTACTGATCATAAAGCTTCCTATTCCTGTCCCATCTCTTGTCTGAGCAACTAGTTGCTAGGCTTGTTGCTGCCCAGACTGCTGAGACCAAGTCCCCACCTCCTTGCCTTGTTCCCTTTACCCATATTTGTCCCTATTCCTGTTACCACACCTTGTTCCCCATTGCTGATTCAAGCTGTGACCCCTGGCATGACTTCTGATTCTGACTCCCCCTTTGACCTCTGGTATGACCATGACCCTAACCCTACTCCTGACTCTCACCAGTAGGTCAGACAGCTCACATTATGGGCCCTAACACCTTTCATATTCAAAATGCAGTTTTCTGTTAGACCCCTAGACAGACGCTGACTAGATTATAGGCGCTCCTCACATCCAGCTTGGTGACTAACCAGGCCATTCTTAATTGGTCTATGAGCTCTGGGATCGGGGTAGTGTAACATTTTTGCATGGTAATTTTATTTAGGGCACAGTAGTCCACACACAGCCTTAAGGATCCATCCTTCTTTTTTATGAAAATAACAGGGGCTCTGACTGGCGAGGTGGACTGTCAGATAAAACCCCTTTTAAAATTCTCATGCATACATTCTAAATACAGAACTCCAGTGAACAAACTGAAATTACCATAGTTTTTCCCTTCCGTTTCATAAAGCTAACTGTTTGTTTTTTAGTCGCTAGGACCAAATACGGTATCAAATTTCTAAGCTATAATTAATTTCAAAAATAATTATAAATTCAATTTACTTTCCAATACCTGGCTGAAAGGTTATCTTTTTAACTACCTCCTTTAATTACAGTTGTGTAGTATTTGTAAAGTGTCAGAATTTTAATGAGAGTTTGCTTTCCAAGAGTTCACAGAATTCCATTACCTCTTTCCTTTACTACCCCTTTTTGTACTAAGTTTAATCTTGCGCAGGTCACACTAACAATAGTCACTATAGGCTCAACTAACTCTGCGGCCCCCATCACCCTCGGAAATTCATCAATGCTACAAACTACTGACCTTACCCTAAACCCATTTGATTGCAGGCCAGTTGGCTTAACTTTTCTTGCCACTCATCAGCACAAACATGGTAGTCAGTAGCTGACCTGTGAATAGTCAGGAATGCCAAAGAGCTTGCGTTTTTAGATAGAGTCACTGCAAAGAAAAAGAAAAAGAAAAGTAACTTAAGTATTTCTTCAGCAAGTTGGTATGCTATTTGTTACACTGTAAATATAAGAATACTTTCAAAAGTGTCCTCGAGTAATGCAAGATCCAGTTATTTTTTATCTCCTCTATACTTTATGAAGATTTAATTAAGAACATAAGAACATAAGAATGACCATACTGGGTCAGACCAAAGGTCCATCCAGCCCAGTATCCTGTCTACTGACAGTGGCCAATGCCAGATGCCCCAGAGGGAGTGAACCTAACAGGTAATGATCAAGTGATCTCTCTCCTGCCATCCATCTCCACCCTCTGACAAACAGAGGCTAGGGACACCATTCCTTTCCCATCCTGGCTAATAGCCATTAATGGACTTAACCTCTTTTAAACCCTGTTATAGTCCTAGCCTTCACAACCTCCCCAGGCAAGGAGTTCCACAGGTTGACTGTGCGCTGTGTGAAGAAGAACTTCCTTTTATTTGTTTTAAACCTGCTGCCCATTAATTTCATTTGGTGACCCCTAGTTCTTATATTATGGGAACAAGTAAATAACTTTTCCTTATTCACTTTCTCCACACCACTCACGATTTTATATACCTCTATCATATCCCCCCTTAGTCTCCTCTTTTCCAGGCTGAAAAGTCCTAGCCTCTTTAGTGTCTCCTCATCTGGGACCCATTCCAAACCCCTAATCATTTTAGTTGCCCTTCTTTGAATCTTTTCTAATGCCAGTATATCTTTTTTGAGATGAGGAGACCACATCTGTATGCAGTATTCAAGATGTGGGCATACCATGGATTTATATAAGGGCAATAAGATATTCTCCGTCTTATTCTCTATCCCTTTTTTAATGATACCTAACATCCTGTTTGCTTTTTTGACTGCTGCTGCACACAATTCAAGAAGGAGGCAGCAGTGGACATCAGAATCTAGGTAATCCTAGACAAGACAATACATAAGATAACAAACAAGACAGACATCCTGAAGTTTAGTTCAAACCAAACCACTTTAATTCATCATTTGTTTATATGGGGCTAGAATGATAGCCTCTCTCATGTTGAGTAGTACCTTAGTCCACAAGTAGTCCAACTGAAATCTATGAGACCATTTGTGGGATAAGGTGCTGCTCAATATAAGAACAGTATCAGAATCTGGCCCTTGATAAATTTATATTGCTCCTATTATGACTATATCAGGTGTGTTTATAGAAATGAAAAACAATCAATAGCTATTGCCTACAAAAAAGACCATTCTCTGCTATTATCATCTCTTTCCCCAACCTGTTTATTGGTTTAATGTCTGCCTTTGTTTTGATCCTGCACAAGAAAGTTTCCAAATGGCCAAAAATGCATTGAGGTAAACTTAGATCCCCCTATAGTGCTACAGTTTGTCACAGGAACTCTTGACAGAAGGTTTTTTGTGTGCATTTCCCCCCCAAATACATATTGTTTTTATTTAAACTTTGTACTTCTCACTTATTCTTGGATTTCATTCATCCTAACTTAGTTATTAAGCATTTTTCATTCATACGACACTGCTTTTACCTCTCTATAAGAAAATTATATATTAATCTTTGATTCCTCCTTCTTGATACTTCAAACTCATGTTTATATGAGATGTTAAGAGTAACAAGAAGGGTTTCTTCAGGTATGTTAGCAACAAGAAGAAAGTCAAGGAAAGTGTGGGCCCCTTACTGAATGAGGGAGGCAACCTAGTGACCGAGGATGTGGAAAAAGCTAATGTACTCAATGATTTTTTTGCCTCTGTCTTCACGAACAAGGTCAGCTCCCAGATTGCTGCACTGAGCAGCACAGTATGGGGAGAAGGTGACCAGCCCTCTGTGGAGAAAGAAGTGGTTCGGGACTATTTAGAAAAACTGGACGTGCACAAGTCCATGGGGCCGAATGCGCTGCATCCGAGGGTGCTAAAGGAGTTGGCGGATGAGATTGCAGAGCCATTAGCCATTATTTTTGAAAACTCATGGCAATCGGGGGAGGTCCCGGATGACTGGAAAAAGGCTAATGTAGTGCCCATCTTTAAAAAAGGGAAGAAGGAGGATCCGGGGAACTACAGGCCAGTCAGCCTCACCTCAGTCCCTGGAAAAATCATGGAGCAGGTCCTCAAGGAATCAATTATGAAACACTTAGAGGAGAGGAAAGTGATCAGGAACAGTCAGCATGGATTCACCAAGGGCAAGTCATGCCTGACTAACCTAATTGCCTTCTATGAGGAGATAACTGGCTCTGTGGATGAGGGGAAAGCAGTGGATGTGTTATTCCTTGACTTTAGCAAAGCTTTTGATACGGTCTCCCACAGTATTCTTGCCAGCAAGTTAAAGAAGTATGGGCTGGATGAATGGACTGTAAGGTGGATAGAAAGCTGGCTAGATCGTCGGGCTCAACGGGTAGTGATCAATGGCTCCATGTCTAGTTGGCAGGCGGTTTCAAGCGGAGTGCCCCAAGGGTCAGTCCTGGGGCCGGTTTTGTTTAATATCTTTATTAATGATCTGGAGGATGGTGTGGACTGCACTCTCAGCAAGTTTGCAGATGACACTAAACTGGGAGGCGTGGTAGATACACTAGAGGGTAGGGATCGGATACAGAGGGACCTAGACAAATTAGAGGATTGGGCCAAAAAAAACCTGATGAGGTTCAACAAGGACAAGTGCAGAGTCCTGCACTTAGGACGGAAGAATCCCATGCACAGCTACAGACTAGGGACCGAATGGCTGGGTAGCAGTTCTGCAGAAAAGGACCTAGAGGTCACAGTGGACGAGAAGCTGGATATGAGTCAACAGTGTGCTCTTGTTGCCAAGAAGGCTAACGGCATTTTGGGCTCTATAAGTAGGGGCATTGCCAGCAGATCGAGGAACGTGATCGTTCCCCTTTATTCGACATTGGTGAGGCCTCATCTGGAATACTGTGGAATTTGATAGCTGCTTTCAACTACCTGAGGGGGGGTTCCAAAGAGGATGGAGCTCAGCTGTTCTCAGTGGTGGCAGATGACAGAACAAGGAGCAATGGTCTCAAGTTGCAGTGCGGGAGGTCTAGGTTGGATATTAGGAAAAACTTTTTCACTAGGAGGGTGGTGAAGCACTGGAATGCGTTACCTAGGGAGGTGGTGGAGTCTCCTTCTTTGGAGGTTTTTAAGGCCCGGCTTGACAAAGCCCTGGCTGGGATGATTTAGTTGGGAATTGGTCCTGCTTTGAGCAGGGGGTTGGACTAGATGACCTCCTGAGGTCCCTTCCAACCCTGATATTCTATGATTCTATGATTATATTTTGTCTCCACTGTCTAAGTAATTTTGATAGATGTGTGCACAATGTATTTTCTCAGTATTATGAATAAAGAATATTTGTTTCTCTAAATAACAGGATATCTTTCTCTTTTACACTAAAAATGTCATAAAACATCTGATTTCTTTGTGGTACTATATTACCTTCATACAGAGAAATAGATTAGCTTCAGTAGCACCACATATACAGTGCAGCCAATTGCTGTCTGGTGGAGTTAGGGTATATGGGCGAGGACACCACAACACACACACACCCTGCTTCCTTCAAATATTGCTATTGCTTATGTGGGACCTACATAATTCTTACTCAAACAGTCATGCTTTGAGAACTCTTAATTTAATAACACATAAAAGCATGAGGCCTTTTTATGGGTGCTGGTACTGCAGGTGGGTAATAGTCAGGTTTCTCTGCTGACTGTCCCCTTTCGCACTTCCAATCCATTCAAAATGGAGCTGCCAGGCTTATTTTCCTCTCAGCATCATTGAAGTCAATGGGAATTCTGACACTGAATTCAACGAGTACAGGATCAGGGCCCTAGTCATTCTGCCCAGGTCACTTCTATACTTCAGTTTCTTCATTGCCTCTCTGCGTTCTTTTACAGCAGTCTCAAGACTCTACTCCTCACTTCAGAATCTCTCCACATTTCCATTCAGTCAACATCACTTCTCTCATCTTATCCCCTCCTGCGCCTTGCAGTATCCATACACTTGCCATCTAACCCTTCCTCTTTCTCCTTTGCCCACTGTACAGTTTGTACTGACTTTCATGCTTTCCTGGAACAGGCTCCTAGTCCAAGTTCTTCCCAGTCCCACTTTGGAAAAATGTTATAAAAACTCAACTATTTCATTGCATGTACAATCCACAACATCACTTCCAGCCAGTGGCACAGATGAGACTTACCACAGTTCCATTCATCTGAGTTGTCCATGCAGTCTAGCTGCCCATCGCACCACAGCTCACTTGGCACACAATCATGACTGGCACATTCAAGCTCATCCGCCTTGCAAAATGCTGCCGAGACAAACACAAATATTAAGATGATGATTTTTAAAATGACTATCATAAAAATGCACACTAAGATCTGATTGGGTAAAGGCATAGGGACAAGTTCAGAGCAGGTTTACAGAGCAGGGGGATAGAGTCAGCAGGCAGAAAAACTATTGGGGGTGAGGAGGAGGACTCAGCTGGAGGGGATCTGTGGGAGGCCAGCAAAACCTCGGAGGTGGGAAGTGGTCTCTGGAAATGGCATGGCCAGGGTACATGATTCAGTGCATCCTACCTATCGGGTTTCAACTTTGGTCCTATCATTATAGCATTGGAGTCCCTCACAAACTTTAGATGGAAACTTTTTGTTTCTCACTTTTTGCTGGATTGCACTAATCCTAACCCAGATAGTTATTCTGTGTTGATTAGACATTCATCCTTTACCCTGAGATACCTAAAATTCGGAAGTATTGTCATCGTCATTTCAGATGTGGGAAGCTGAAGCATGGAGTGGCTTGCTCAAGGTCACTGTAGCAGGGTGGTCACCCCGCTCCAGCCCTGAAGGGGTTAAAGCAGCCATGAAGAGGGCTGTGGCTAGAAAAAACTGGGTTGATTAGAGAAGCAGCCACAGCTGGGACCATGCCCTAATCAGGCCACGACTGGCCCTATAAGAGGGCTGAGGGCCAGAGGCTGTAAAGACACACTCTCTCTAGCTTCCTTGAGAGAGAAGGACCTGGCTGCCTGGGAAGCTGAGAAGGGTACTTAGGGTGGAGCAGTGCTGGGGAAGGGCAGAGGGAGCTGGGGAGCTCCAGCCTACCAAAGCCCCAGGCTGCAGGCCGAGTTAAGGGACCACTAAAGGGTACTAGGGCTGCAGGGGGGCAGCCCAGATATAGGCAGAGGCAGCTGGTCCAACCCCCCTGGCCGATGGTGAGTGGTTTACAGACTGCAGTCTGCCCCAGTGAATGGGGGCTAGATGGGGACTGGCAGTAGCCACTGAGGCAAGGAGGGGATAGCGGGTTGGGGGTTCCCCCGGGCGGGGAGACGCAGATTGTGGGTTACTGCTGGGGGCAGAACCCTGAGGTAAAGGGCACCGGGGTCCAGGAGGAACACAGGGGCCAGCGGCAGGCAAGACACCGGCCTGCAGAGGGCGCTCTGGGCTGGAAGAGCTAATTCCCAGGATGACCAGCAGGAGGCACCACACCGGTGCGTCATTGCTCCACCACAGTCACATAGATAGTTTGTGGCAGAGCCAGGACCTGAACTCAGGTTTCCTGCATCCCAGTCCAGTATCCACAAGATCATCCAATGTCAGTTTGTGCTCATGTGCAGTCCCCATAGGATTTTACAGCTACCCCAGCCATCACAAAATCCTCAGGAAGGGCAGTCATGCAACATTACCAGCCCCACTTTATCAGGCTTTCCCCCTGGGGCCCAGCGCAGGCTGACACAAAGAAGTATAATTAGCACCGTCATGCAGTAGCTTTAGTGACTCCAGCTCTTAGTTCTCATTAATTTTTGTATATGTCTTATTAGTTTATAAAGTGTATTACTGTACAAGTCAGGCATTTATATACAACACTCAGACCCATCTTAACATACATAAAACAATCCACAATGAAAACCATAAAACTATGTAAACTGATACTGTCTGCTGTGACATTAACAACCATGTGTATTCAGGCCAGGAACAAAGTATGTAAACCCAGAAAAACAAGAACACACACACACACACACACACACGCATGTACAAAATCAAGAAAAAACTAAACCAAACAACCACGCCTCGCATCATGCCCTGAAGCTCTCTAACTCTGGCTCTGAAAGGCCTCCAAGGGGAACAAATTCCAGAGTTAGAGAGCCCTCAGCTGAGAGGGGGGAGAAAATTCAAGAGGTAGAGGGTCTGCCACTGAGAAAAGGGAACAAATTCCAAAGGTAGAGAGCCCTCAACTGAGAAGCTCTATTGCCATTCCTGAATAATTCATCCCCAGGACTGACAGCAAGAGTAGAGAGGAAGGATAGTGCAATGGTTAGGGTGCTAGCCTGGGACTCAGAAGACCCAGATTCAGTTTCTTGAGGTCACAGACTTCTTATGTGACCTTTGGCAAGTCACTTAGTCTCTCTGTTCCTCAGTTCCTGTCTGTAAAATGCAGATAATAGTACCTCCCTATTTCACAGGGGCATTGTGAGTAGAAGTACATTAAAGATTGTGAGACATTATTTTACAGTTATGGGAACCATATAAGTAGCATAAGTACAGTACCCCAGCTGATCTGAAAAGCTGTAGTTTATTATGTAAAGGTAAGATGCTCTCAGTTATTCACATCTCAAAACATTCAGAGCTTTAGAGACCATCTTGACTTGTGTAATCTGTGCATTAGTTTATGGGTTACGCTGAGTCCAAAACTAGCTAATATGCATTAAGATAAAATATAAGGGAGAAATGCAAGAAGCCAACAGGCCTAATCCTTTAAAAATAGTAATTTAAGCAGTTAGCATAAGGATATGAACTTTGGCATAAGTAAATTTGTTTAGCTTACCGTACGTTAGCAGTAACGCTAGGTCATAAAATGGCATAAGACATAATTTTGCAATAAATAATTTTGTTGAAATTTTGCAGAATGCTGATGGGTAACTGCAAAAAGTCAGTTGATGCCAGTGTGGAGTATTTTGTGATAGGCACATTAGCAGATGCTTACCCACAGAATTATTATCGTAACCAATTGACATATATGCTAATGAGTTTGATATAATTAATATACTAATCCATAGATTAGAACAAGGAAACCCCAACGTTATTAGGGTAAAACAGTTAGTTATGGCCAAAGGAGACTCATATTCATTCTTATGAATATTCATGACAGTCATCAAACCTTACAATAGGCCTGACCATGAGGTAGGCTGACAAAACCTCGATCCTAGCAATCATTATTAAGGCTGAGTCTGTCATGGAGGTAACGGAAATCACGGATTCCATGACATTCCGTGATCGCCATGATTTCTGCAGCAGCTGCACCCATGGCACCCCTGGACCTACACCCCCCCACCCCAGAGCACCCACGGCCCTCCGCCCAAGTTTTAGTCAGGGTGGGTATTTTTAGTAAAAGCCATGGACAGGTCACAGGCCCGTGAATTTTTGTTTACGGCCCGGAACCTGTCCATGACTTTTACTAAAAATATCTGTGACTAAAACATAGCCTTAATCATTATGCAAGCCAGAGAGAAGACAGCTGGTGGTCCATAGGGGTCCTGTCTCATTACTTCTAGGTCTCCAGAAGAATAGTTGGGAGTATATGCATGAGATGATACTGGATGTCAAATTATTATCGCATTATTCATACTGTCATCTGGACTGGAACATTTGTGTGTTAACTAACTTTAGTAATACAAATCTTAAAAGAGCAGAAGATCTTTTCCAACCATGCATGTCAGGGTTCCCAACTGAACAATAATCCTAATAATACTGGATCAGATCTTTGGACAAGAGCCTATCAAACCACAATGTGTTAAGTTATTAATTGGGAATTCTTAAGTAATCAATCCACCATCAATAAATCAGGCAATATTTGCACCTGGAAGCATGCAGGAAGCCAAAAAGAGATTTGAGCACTGATGCTATGTTTCCTTCTAGAGAAGAGCAGCTGGATTCTGTATGGCAAAACATGTGCATTTACCCTACACAGATGGTGCAGACACTGCCTCGTTAAGCATCTGCCCCTTCCAACAAGCATCAGAGCTGGTCAGGAATTATATGTCAACTTGTTTTTTCAACTGAAAATGTGGTTTCCACAATCAGAATGAAAACAAATGCTGAAATATCTGAATTTTCTGGGGGACAGAAATTCAGATTTTCAATGAGTTCTAATAGACACCATTCCTCTCTTTGGCAGATCAGATGGCAGAAGATGAGACCATAGAACTGGGTTTGATTAAAAGCAGACGAAACAGAGAACCATCAACGTATACATTACATTGCAGCCAAAAACATTTCCCAATCTCCACTACTGACTTCACATACACATTACAAGGATGAGCAACAAGATGGAAGCTTGTACAGCAGCTGCCACTCAATAGCTCCTCTTCCCATCCCACTGATAAGCTGTATACTGTGAAAAGGAACTCATGTCAGTTCCTAGCTATCAGCTCAAGGAAGGAGGAATTTCTTAGTGGTTGCAGTATAGAACCATTACCCAGGCCCCAATGGGAGTCGTTGGGGTATCCCTACACTCTTGTTTGCACTGCATGGGATATACTTGTATTCCTCTTGCACTCATAGCCACCTTGGATATGGTGAGAGGGAAGAGACAATGGAAACATGGGAAGAAAGCAGCAAAGAGAGCAGGGGGAGAAACAAAAACCAAAAAGTCCTGGGATTGGGTAAGACAAGTGGGAGTGAAGAAGATCCAAGCAGCCATAGGTTATATGAAAGGGAGTCAAGGGGCTTAGAGGAAGAGACAGCAGCCAAGGACCTACAAATAAAAAATAGCAGCCAAATGGACACATGCGGAAAGAGACCAGGCAAGGTGAGACAGGGTGAGATGGAGATATGGAGCCACAGCAGTGAGAAGTGGAACCAAGGAGAGAGATTATAGGAGGGAGAACTTGGAGCAACAAGGCGAATGATAGGAAGCTAAGGGGAGGGGTGGGGCCATTATGCCTTTAGGGGTCTGCTTCTACAGTTTGTCCAGTGCCCCCAAAATTCTAGATTCAGTCCTAACTATCACCCGGGTTAAGCACTTACAGCAGTTCTTTTCATCCACCTTGTCAGGACAATCTGGAAAGCCGTCACAGATCATGGCGTGCTGGATACACAGCTTGTTTGATGGACATTCCCAAAGACCCCTTTCTCTACAACCTGGACACAGAGAACAAGAACTTTGAGATATTCCATTTTAACATTTGCATGCAATTAGAGCTGTGTGAATGGCTGATTTTTCAGTTAGCTTGCAGTTCTGAGAAACAGGAAAAAAACTGGTTCAGGTCAAATTTAAACAATTTTTTTGAAATTTTAGGTGAATTGAAAAAGTTGGAAAAAAATTGTTTCAGGTGAAACTAAACATTTTGTTCAACCTGAAACTTGAAATGTCATTGGGTCAAAAAGAGAAAGCAAGTGAGAATGACTCTGTAACCCAGTGGTTAGGGCACTCAGCAGGGAGGGGGAACATTTGGGTTCCAGTTCCTGCTCCAATGACTCTTCAAGGATTTTATACAAAGAAGAACAGCCTCAACAGGAGAAACTGATTTCAGAGGGATAGCCTGTTAGTCTGTATCAGCGAAAGGAGTCCTTGTGGCACCTTAGAGACTAACACATTTATTTGGGCATAAGCTTCTGTGGGCTATAACCCACTTCATCAGATGCATGGAATAGAAAATACAGTAGGCAGATATAAATACACAGCACACGAAAAGATGGGAGTTGCCTTACCAAGTGGGGGGGTCAGTGCTAACGAGGCCAATTCAATTAGGGTGGATGTGGCCCATTTCCAACAGTTGACAAGAAGGGGTGATTATTTTTGATACTTTTTAAAATATATATTACTAAGGATATGTGAGTAGTTCTCATCCTGGATTCTGCACAATTTAATTTAAAAGTAAAGGGCTGTGTTCAAAATATCAACATTTAGCATACTCATCTTTCAAAAATGAAAATACTGTGAACTTGTTTCTTTTGGTAATCTCCATCAAATACCATGAATATTTTTTCTTGCAGTATTGATGTAAAAAGAGGCAGAGAACAGAATGAGAGATGAAGAGGAGCTAGCCATATAGGGTGACCAGATGTCCCGATTTTATAGGGACAGTCCCGATATTTGGGGCTTTTTCTTATACAGGTGCCAATTACCCTCCACCCCCGTCCCGATTTTTCACACTTGCTGTCTGGTCACCCTATAGCCATATTGGGCATAAGTACGTTTCCTTGCTTGCAGTAATCTAATATTTTACCACTGCATCAAGTGGTTACACAGATTCACCCTTGCCAACTATATGCATTTACCTGAAAATTTATTATTATGCAGCTAACACAGCCATTTTCTCCTCCAAGTGACATTAATCAGTTGCACTGGCTTCATAAAAAAATCAAGATGAATTCTTGTAAAACTGGGTCAGAGTTTTTTGATATGTTTCAGAGTGGTAGCCATGTTAGTCTGTATCAGCAAAAAAGAATGAGGAGTACTTGTGGCACCTTAGAGACTAAAATTTATTTTGGCATAAGCTTTCATGGGCTAAAATCCACTTCATCAGATGCATGCAGCGGAAAATACAGGAAGATTATATATATACACATACATACAGAGAACATGAAAAAATGGGGGTTGCCATACCAACTCTAACGAGACTAATCAATTAAGGTGGACTATTAGCAGCAGGAGAAAAAAAAACTTTTGTAGTGATCATCAGGATGGCCCATTTCAAACAGTTGACAAGAAGGTGTGAGTAACAGTAGGGGAAAAATTAGCATGGGGAAATAGTAGGGTCCTAGTTTGTCAAACGGAGGAAATTAAGAATGGCATGATGTAGGCTTATAAAACATCTAGCTTTCCAATTTTATCTTTACAGTTTTCTGTAAATAATTATTAAAACATCTCACTACAACATCAGAGTTTGGAAACAGTTCACTTTGATGAAGAAATGTCCTCATGCATCACTGACACAATAGTAACACAGGAGGTCATAATAATACATGATAAATAGAATTCCCTTGATTTTACTCTACTAATATTTATTTAAATTAGATGGAGTTGTGGCTGCCTTGTTTAATCCATTCTATAGCTGATCACATTGGCTTTCACACTTTAAACTTAATCTGAGTTCAGATTCAGGTGACTGGCCCATGTGATCAAAACAAAAAATAAACAAAGCTCGGTTCTGTGAGTTCGCTACAGTACAAGTGGCAGAACTTTTCCTGCGGCTGGAGTTCATGTAGTGCATAGTTCAGCAAAGGATAGCAGTTACTAAGTTAGCAAAAGGAAATGTAGCTTACACAGTGTCTATTTCCAAGGTGAACACATTTATGACTGAGTGAGAAAAGTCACCTCACATGGCTACCAAAATAATTTATTTGGGTTCCTCCATCAGTAATTGTAATGTAGTATACTGAATGCACATAGTACTCCACTTCATTTACATCTTACTTAATAAGCCACATTAGAACTGTTATGAATTGTACACAGAGGAATAATTGGCCTTCCTGAGAGGTCACGCATTACTGTGGAAGAATAAGCAATATTATGATGAACAAGTGTCAGGAATGAGGATTTGCAGCTGTGTCTGCCAAGTCTCCAGGCAGCCTATGAGCACAGGTGAGCAACAACAGGTCCACCTGATAGGCCACTTTGCCTGACTGGCCGAGAAAGTCAGCAAGTCTACTTTTAAGCCCCACATCAGCAACTGATCACTGGCTCCTCAACGCATGCACCCATACCTGCTATCTTTTCTGTGGCTGCCTTGCTCCTAGTCTCACTCCAGCCTTGCTCCTGCCTTGTTCCCAGCCTTGCTCCTGTCCTGCCCAGTCCACTACAGCCCTGCTCTGTTCCTGACTCTGACTCCAACCACTAGGCCTGACCACCCAAGTCCCAGTTCATGACAACCAGAATGAGGCATTATTAATTTATCTTCATTTCTCATATTTAAACACCTTGGTGCTGACAGTTATCAATTGTTGAAATGATTCCCGATGGGCCAAGGAGGCAATGGTGAAAGCCAGGTTATCATGCTCTGTGTTTGGCTCAGTGTAGGTTACAGATTCTATCCCAAATCAGAGCTAATATTTGGGCTGAAGGTGCCAATATCTCAGAAGTCGATTTTGTGAAATTCCTGAACGCCCTTCCTCTGGTTGAATTCCCTCCTAAGTTACAGAAGTCCAGGGTGCAACACATGTGTGAGTTACACTTCCCTGTACCAGAGGAGGGATAGCTTATGCATCCCTGTCCCAGGTAGGGCTTTTGTATCTTAGGAATATGTCGAAGGTCAAATTCAGAGGCTTTGTCTTCATTTTAAAGGCACTTAATGGTCTAGGCACAGGATACCTAAAAGATTGCCTGAAACTCCAGGATTGGGTCTATGCTTGGTATGTGGCTACTCAACACACATACCCACATCTGTGATCTCTCCTGTCCCTGTCCTGCTCCTTGGGACAATAGAGTTATCCACTGCAAGGATAAAGCTCATCTGTGCAGTGGCTAGAGCTTTCTTGGGTGCCAGAGCAAAGCTGCGAAACAAACTCTCACAGGTTCTAATAACCATCTCAAATATCACCACTTTCCATTCCAAGTACAAGGTGTAGCTCTTTGACCATGCCTTCCTAATAAATACATATAGCATAGCAGACATATATTGAATGAACAAAAAAAATGTTAAACCCCCCAAACCTTTCTGCTAATTTTCCCTTTGAGGGGGGAAAAAGGAGGTGAATGCTAGTCACCTTGCTTATCGTACTTCTGGAAGGCACTCGGACAGCACGATGGTGAGGGGAGATATAAGAACCTGAATAGAACAGAATAAGTGACTTTAGCCTAAGAATCTAAGGGCTTGTCTGGACAAACAGTTAGTGCATGGCAAGCTGGGCTGTAAACCTACTGTGCACTAGAGTGCGGTGTGGTAACTGTCTGTATGGGATCCTGCTGCTGCATAATAAAAATTCTGTAGAGCACTTTGATCTACTCCACTTTGAAATGGGAGTAGGTCAATGCACACTAAGGGTACGTCTATACTTACCTCCGGGTTCGGCGGTAAGCAATCGATCTTCTGGGATCGATTTATTGCATCTTGTCTAGACGCGATAAATCGATCCCGGAAGTGCTCGCCGTCGACACTGGTACTCCTGCTCCGCGAGAGGAGTATGCGGAGTCGACGGGGGAGCCTGCCTGCCGCGTGTGGACCCATGGTAAGTACCTTGTAGTTCGAACTAAGATACTTCGACTTCAGCTACGTTATTCATGTAGCTGAAGTTGCGTATCTTAGTTCGAACTAGGGGGTTAGTGTGGACCAGCCCTAAGGAACTTTTAGTGCAGCATAGCAGAGTCCACATGGACAGCTAGTATACAACCTGCTAGTGCTCTGTACGTTTACACCCCAGCTTCTGCTGCACTTACTGTTAGACAGGCCCAAAGTTATGCATCAGTCTGACTAAGCATTTACCACTAACTAACTATTTGTTCCCAGTTGCCATTGATTACTTTTAAAATTTGTACAATGTTTTACTGTCAAGTGTCCTATGACTCCTGAGGACACTACATAAATGCATTAACACTGTTTATCTTTGAATGGAACAGAGGCACCCGTTAGAACAGAAATTCAGTATGTATATTTCAATGACTCTGACCATGGACATATAAACTATTTTTGCAGCAGAAGATTGTGAGTTCTATTCTGCATGCCAAATGTGTCGTTTTTGATGAGCATCTGTAGAATAAGGATTTTGCAATAATATGACTTTCTTAATTTAATGTTTATGAAAACATGCCTGTATTTATACAATCCCCATCTCAAATACTTCTTTTGATGGGAGAAGGGGATTGATGTACTATATCTCACCTTTGTTCTCCTTAAAGTTATGTGTTAACTCATTGTCACTGATATATTCATTCTGCAATTCTTATTACTTGAGTCCTTAAAATAAAATGCCAGGACTTTTTTATCCCAGCTAAAATACTACAGTGAGAACTAGAGCTGCAGCAAACTGTAGAGGACAAAATGCTGATTTTGAAGGTTATGCTCCTTCACATCCACAATACTCCTTTTTGCCACCTTTCTGCTATTTACTTGTTATCCCCAGTGGAGTAAGGAAACTCTCAGATCTAGAGCAAAAGCTGGCAGAGCTGGTCCTAAGACAACCAAGCAACCCATCCAACCCCAAAAGGCATGTCAGAGCAGGGAAGGGCAGAAAGGGAGAGGGCATAGCTGGCACTGAGCACAGCTCTATTCTGCCAATTTTAAATTTGCAGATGGACTCTTACAGGCAGCCTAAGGGCTGTTCTAACTTACACTCGAGCCAGGGCAGCTTGAGAATGTGGGAGCTGTAAATGGCCCCCTTCATCCTGTGATGTGCAGATCTTGTCACAGGACATAAATGGACATAGTCAGTCTGGTTGTCCTAACACGGTATCCACTACTGGTTGTTTATGGCATCTAAAATATACATTCTGTAAATACAGCTTGGTGAACTAATGGTACAAAAATCGGTGTGTTCTTTTCTTAAAAAAAATAATAAATCCAATATATTCTGAGCTAGCCATTTACACAGGGAAAGTTCAATGATCTCTGAGTTTGTCCTACACACAAAGAATATGAATGAGCTAGAGACAGCAACTTCTAGAGCTCTAAAAGCACTGGCTGTTCTTCAGTAACATCATTACCCATGGTCAATGTAATGTCATTCTGACAGCTGTAATTTTCTAGCAGATGCAGCCTTCCATATTTATAGAGGCTGATAAAAATTCCGTTGATTGCTAGCAACATTTTGTCTAGACCAAAAAGAGAGAGATCTACTTAAGAAATGTGTTTTATGTATCAAAGCAATATTTCAGACCTTAAAGTCAAGGAGTATAAAATGACTCTAAAAAATAGTTAGCTATTAGTGTTCTCAGGAGTTAAAAGCAAGTGTCAATGACAATAATTTTGAAGGAAGAGCAACCAAAACAATTGTTAACTAACTAGAATTTTTTTCCAGGAGATTTGCTCATTGCTGCTCAGCCAAAGCACTTTCTCTACATTTAAGCGGTAAGAGTTGCTTTTCACCATGAAAAAACTCTGGAATGAAACTGAAAATAAAGTTTGCAGTTACAAGTGATATTCTTGAGGCTACTGCTGACAGTAACATGTAACATTTCACAGATTTTTCTTGAGGAAAAGGGGCTTATCTTTTGAACTTTCAGACTGTGCGCTGAACAAAATGACACAGTTATGTCCTCTGATACTCCAGCCATTTTCCATTAAATCAACTGACTCATTTCATTTATTTACCACAGTTGTCCTCGTCACTATCATCTTCACAGTCAGCCTGGCCATCACATCTTCTGGAGGCCAAGACACACCTTCCAGAACGGCACTTGAAGTGACTGGGTGAGCACTCTGTCAATGTCAGAAAACATAACACTTTCAGCAAACTGGAAAGCGTTAATTATCACACAGTACTCTTTATTTATTATTATTATTATTTATCACTGTGACTGAGTTAAATGGGTAAAAGACAGGAACAGAAACCCTGTGAGATACTAAGTTGGAACTATGCAGAAACGGAAACTATCCTGGACGAAAATACGGAGGATGGGGTGGGTTTGAATACACATCACTACTTTTCCACAGCCATCTCTTCACATACTGCCACCTCTCAAGTTTCGAAGCCTCACAACATTATTGACAGATATTGTTTAGGTTGAGGGCACCACTTTTCTAGTTATATTATCCACTGATGTTGTGTTGAACATATAAAGGTAAACCATTCAGTGTGTTGATTTTATACAGATAATATTTAGCAATTACATTGCCTTTTTTTTTAAATTCAGAGTCCTTAATAAGTATTCACCAATTAATCCTCACATCACAATGGCCAGGAAGGATTTTCAGAAGTGCCTTAGGGGAAAAAAGTACCATTGAAAGTCAATTTGAATTTTTGCTCCTAAGTCACTTAGGGCTACATTCACAAAAGGATTTAGGTGCCTAACTGCCATTTTAGGTACTTAAGTCCAACATTTAGGTGCAATTGAGATCCTTACAACCCCTGCCCAGCTGCCACCTAACCTGGAGCCACCATTTAACTCCCCAAGGCACCTAGGTTTCCACTAGTGAGTAGGCACACAGTTGCCTCAGTCCAGGCAGCTTGGCTCCTATCTCTGGTCTAAGTCCCAGTGGGATCCTCAAACAAGGGGTCCCTCTGCCTATCTTTCTGTGAACCCAATCCAGTAGAACTTCTCAGAGTACACTTATACACATACAAAGTTACAAATAAAACTCATGACTTTAAGAAAATAGCAATGTTTTCCACTTTCTTTTAAACAAAAAGAATTGTGTTGACTATCACCGCTTGGGGATAAAGTCTGCTATGAGTAAATTCATTTGAGTTCACTGGGCATGCCATCTTGGAGCAGTTCATTCTTGGATTCATCACATACTGTAAGGTAGCTGTTTTGGGGAGGTTAAATGATTCAATACTGTAGTGTTTTTGCCAGCTATAGTTTAAGTGGGCAAATCACCTATATTCTGTAATCATTAATAGGACTCCGTGTCTGTCACGGAGGTTGCGGAAGTCATGGATTCCGTGACTTTCTGCGACCTCTGTGACTTCTGCAGAGGCCATTGTGGCTGACCCCAGGGCTGCCCAAGCAGCTGGTTCAGGGGTCAGCTGCTCAGCTGGCCCTGGGGACAGCCACACCACCGCTGCTGGAGCAGCTCTGCAGCCAGCCGCTCAGGCAGCCCTGCTGCCAGCTGCACCGGCTGCTACGGGCCCCCAACAGTGGTCCCCAGGGCAGCCGGAGCAGCCACTGCTCTGACAGCCACCAGCAGTGGTCCCTGGGGCGGCTGGAGAAGCGGCCCCCCAGGGTGCCCTCCCTGCAGCAGTACCCCCTCCCCCCCGCAGCAGCCTCCCCAAGATTTAGTCAGGGGTATTTATAGTCTAAGTCATGGACAGGTCACAGGCTGTGAATTTTTGTTTACTGCCCGTGACCTGTCCATGACTACTTACTAAAAATGCCCATGACTAAATCGTAGCCTTAATCATTAAAATTTAAAAGGTTCTCAAAAGTCTAATTTATTTTGCTGTAGTGTCCTTCCGAAATATTTATTATAGTATTTTAAACTTTCCAAGAAGGCTTGTCTTTCTAACTAACATTGGCAGCTGGTGCAAATCTTTCATTAAACAAATATGAAATATTAGCAGTGAGCCAGCCTAAGGATAACTTTGATAGCAGTGCTTTACTAAGCAATTAGGCTATTTATAAAGGAGTAACTAACAGTATACATTTCTCTTTTGATTTGTTCTACAAGGGAGTCTAACCCATACTGTCAGTGACAAGATAATAAATGGACAGCCAGGTAGTCAGCCTAGTAGCTACATTCTATTTTACTAATTTAACTGAGATGTTCCTGAAAGGGACTTTAAAGGAGATGCTGAAAAAATGTGTGCACCCAATTTAACTCTGTAAACATTTCACAACTGTTTTTAAACATTAATTTAAAAATGTATCCAATTACATCCTACCACTCAAAACCAAAGTTTTTACTCCACACAGAGGAGGGATAGAAGTTAATTTATACACTGCAGATTAACACCACATTATTTTTCCTACAACTGGGGATTTTCACTAGGATTCCTTGCAGCAGAAGTTTGATTTTATTTCCCCTATATAGTACCTTCTATTAATGGATGATTATTTTCCCCCAGGTTGCTGCAGGGCATAGCTTAAGGCTGAATTTACTCCTATGTCTTCTAGCTTCTCAGTATAAACTATTTTATTATTATTACATGATTTATGCATATCTTTCACGGTGATTTGGGCACACAGACATTGGTGCAGAGTGTGGAGTACAGGAAGTAATATGTTCTCACTGTCCTGGTCCACTCAGAAGACTGTCAGTCATATTCTGCACTAACCAGGCCAGTCCAGGTAGGGCATGTTGCATTAGCCTAGCCATAACAAAGGTATGTACAAATGGAGTTTGGTCCATACTGTGAAGGTATAAAAAAAGGTGGATTCGCTCACTAATGCAATCTTAGAATCCAGGAAGCAACAAAGACTTTATAAGGCCTCCCGAATGTGAACCAATTTGGTGATCTGCAGATAAACACCTTGGATGCAGCTATACCCTTTGATGAACCATCAAATGCTTCCCTATCCAAGTCAGCATCATATCTTTGTTATCTACCTGGATTGTAAAACAACTGGCTTTCATCTTTCAGAGTAGCAGCCGTGTTAGTCTGTATCCGCAAAAAGAACAGGAGTACTTGTGGCACCTTAGAGACTAACAAATTTATTAGTCTCTAAGGTGCCACAAGTACTCCTGTTCTTTTTGTGGCTTTCATCTGTGATCCAATCTCAATCAGACACCAGGAGACTGTGGAGACATCTACATCTTAGTCAAATGAAAGAGAGATTAAAGAGTTGAGGGTAATAAGCATATTGCTGATACTCTAGCTCATGTCACCTCACTATCACAGCAATTAGCAAAGACTGACAAAAAATGAAAGACAGGATGGAGTTGCCCGACTCCACAGCTGAGGCCCTTCAGTTAGGAGGAGCAACTGTACAACACCAGCCTCCCTCTCTTTATAGGGAATAAACAGAATCATTTAAAGGCAATTCCATTCATGTGTTCCAGACTCCTGATTTGCATCAACAATATTTGGTGAGCAATAGCATGGATGGGATCAAGACATCTGAGGTAGTCAGACATTGTTGAAGTTGGCCTGATACAGTCCTTTCAGACCTTCCCCCAAAAGGAGAAAGAGAGCAGACAGTAGTTGGCAAGGACACTAACATCGGTAGAATTGGTTTCTTAAGCAAAGACTGGATCACAGCTTGTTTGTTTAGCAGTGCCAAGATCTTGGCTCTCCCTTAGATAAACAGTAATGCTTCACAGCAGCAGGTTGGCAGGTCTGCAGGTAACTGGGCTCATGTGCAAATACAGGCAAGTGGGAGGTGTTTTGTTTACCCACACTTGAGATGTATGGGTAATCAGAATAAGAGTAATTTTATCCTTCCCCAGAATAAAAGCTCTTCAATTTCTTAACAAAACTTTCTCCTAGATGTAAATAGATAATACGTAGTTGGAAGAAACAGGAATTCTCCCAAATCTGATTTTGAATCATTTGCACAGTATATTAGCCATACTGAGAGTTTAATTCACCTACTTGACTTAATATAATTTAAAGAGGGTGTATTAAAGTATGAAATGGGATCACTAACTTATGGCAAGCGACAAATTTATATTCAATATCCAATTATAAATAATCTAACTAGTAACCTTCCACATCCTCATCAGGTGTTAGGCAGGTTCGGTTGTCTGAGTTTTCTTCTGGGAACTGAGTGCAGTCTGTGTCTTCTGGCCACTGCAGGCCTACAATTCCAAGCACAGATTCACAGCGTTCTTTGGAATGCTCACACAGCGTCCTGGAGGGATGAATTGGAAAGGGTGAGTAAAGACATAGGGTGGAAAAACATGTCATGACAGGTTACCAACTATTGCTGGAAACTAGCACTCCTAGCTGAGGATTTGAAGATGGGGGGGGGGGAAGGGAGTTGTTAATCTTCCTTATATGACAGAAAACTTTTCTTACATGCATTTAACTTTCCTTAGACTAAAGAAAAATATATTAAAATGGTTTCATCACTGCTGATATTTTTGTTAAGAAAATCATGGTAAGCAAACTATTGCCTGAGTCATACCATAAAAGTCACAATAGCAATTGTAAAGTTTCTTACAAACACCCTTCACTCAGATGGAAATGACAGAGAAGCCTTTCTTAAAGCAAAAGATACTAAACTCCTTTCTATGCAGACAGATCAGGGAAAGATATTCTTCTAGAAGAAATTCTTAAATGAATCAGTGTAACAATACTAATGTTTCACAGCTACACTGAGACCATCCTCCTGAAGGATGCCAAAGCACTTCACAAAAAGCGTACATACTGCACCAATGAAATATTGTCTCTTGTGATATGGAGGGCAGCAGCCATAGCACATTGCATAACAACTAGCAGGGAAAAGAAAATTTTGACCAGGGATACTGGATCATATGCCTTATCTTACAAAGAAGTGCCATAGGAACTTTTAATGTTCATAGAGAACAGGCAGGTTCTGGATTTTTAAGGTCTCTTCTCAGAGACCCACTCACAGGCTGTAGTACACTATCTACTGCACAGATGGTTGCAGGGCTGAATCAACCCTGCCTGTATTTGAACCTGTGGTTCCAGGCTGTCTAGGGATTTCAAACCTGGAAAACAAAAGAGCAAAAGACTTCAGTGAATTTTGTAAAATTAAGATGGTTTGAGACAACGTGACCTAGTTTTGAGGGTGTGGTCACTTTAACCATCAACATTTGTATCAGACTATAGAGGCAAGAAAATTGTGTTGATTTTGAATATTTATTTTCCATCATAGAAACATAGGAATTGCCATAGCAGATCAAATCAATAGTCCATCTAGACTAGTATCCTGTCTCTCAGAATGGTCAGTACCAAATACTTCAATTGAATGGAAAGAAAATCCATAATTGGAAATTTTGCAATAACTTGTCTATAGGCGAAGCTTCCTCCTAACCACAGGCAATTATTGATTGGCTTATGTCCTGTATCAGGGGCTGATATATCTATAAAAAAAATTATTCTAGCTGAGTAACTGCAGATGATATTCTTATATTCATGGAATGGTCCAGTCCTTTTTTGAATCTTACAAAGGTCTTTGTTCCAATTATATCTTTTTTCAGTGAGTTCCACAAGTTAATTGTGTATTGTGCAAAAAAGGGTTTTGTTTTATCAGTTGTAAATGTTGCCTTTCAACTTCAGTGAATGTACCCTTAGTTCTTATATTATGAGAAAGTTATTTAACAGGAAGGTCCAATTTACCTTCTCTATATTTTGTGTGCTTCTGTCACATCACCTCTAATTTGCCTCTTCTCTATACTAAACAGCACTGATCTTTTTAATCTTGGCTCATATATGGAAGTCATTCCATGTTACTAATTATTTTCATGGTCCTTTTCTGGACCTCTTCTCCTTCTGCTCTGTCACTGTTGAAAAGGAGTGACCAAAACTTAACATGCTGTTTAAGCCAAGGTCATACATACTGTGCCAACAATGCATATAATGACATCATAGTATTTTCAGTATTATTCTCAAATTTAATTTGGTTTTGGGGGCGAGTTTAAAAAAAAGAAGGTTTGTTTTTGTTTCTGTGCCTGACCCCTTCATTTAAATAGTAAGAATGAAGTGTGTATGTATTTTAGAGGTGTATGTGTGTACAGTGCATTCTGCAGAGAAAAGTTGCAAAATCAGTTGCCTGTGTGGCAAGAGCTGGAAACTAGAGTGGATAATGGCAGTTACCTTTTGTAAAGGCAAATGGCATCTGCATATTCTTTTCAGTTAGCCACAGAAAACCATTCAGCTATTTTACTTGTGACTGTAACAGGATTCACTTAGAATGAGACTAGAATGAACTCTATTTCTGTGCCCACTTGAAATGAGGCAGTGTACTATAAAGAGATTCATTTTATAAGAATGCTCTTGAATCAACTTGCTTTGTTACGGCTCAGCAGTAATGTTTCCTTTTAGATGTGCCTCTCCTCCAAACAAGCTTACTACTCGGGGTTGATTCAAATCACATTTGAACAGTTGCCCTACATTGTTTTGTAGTTTGGCCTCAACCTTCTGAATTCCAGAGTTTTCTGCTCTGATTATTTTCTGATGACAGCCAGAGCCGTGAAAACAATAAAGTAGATTTTAAGAGTTTTGGTCTAGTTTACTGAAACATCTGAGTAACTTGTGCCTTCAACATGTCCCTGCTCCTTCAACCTCACCCCTTCAAAAAACCAACCTTCTCTCGGAGGAGACAGTTTCCAATAACTGCCGCAAGACATTCAGTTTTAATTTTGGGGGAATAAGTAAAATGCAGTTAACATGTCAAATAGATGTCTGAAGCCAATAACAGTGCAGATGTTAGCTCTTTGCAATATAGCAAGAAAAAACAGCACATGATTTAGAGGAACAATAATATAGCCTTTTGCTGTTCCAATAAAATGTCTTCCTTCTGGGGTACTGGATGGATTAGAGGCTTGGTAACAGAATACAGAGGGTTTTTTTACTTCTCAGTCACTAGTTCAAACCTGTTCTTGGTTGTATTGACCAAAGTTGACATTTGCTGGCTATTTGGCAGTGTGTGTGAAATGAACTGGTGGTCTGAATCTTGTTCTTAGTTAATAGGCAACTACAACAAAGTGGAGACAAACTACCACACTAGTTTGGCACAGCCAACAGAAAGTCCAAGGAAGAAATGGGTAGCAGAGAACAAGGATGATGGTCACTGGCAAAGCAGTGAGGAAGCTCTCTCTATTTTGTATTAAATGAGGGACTTCAGTTTCCAGGATTTTCAATCTAGCACCTTCCATAAATATTAAACTCATTTAAAAGTAAACTGAAATAAAAGTGGTGTAACAAGGCCCCAGAGGGCCCTCTTGCAAGAATAAGTAAGGAACCCCCTTCCCAATTCTACCCCCAACACCTCACCCACTGAGCTCCAACACACCCTACTCACCCCATGACATAGGAGCTAAATTGGAGTGAGTGGCATTGTGACCCCATTTGCCAGGTGAAGTGTCAGAGCATTGCACCACTTGCACCACTGTAGCTACGCCACTACGAAATATTTCCTTGATCTCTGCAAAATGCCATTAATTCAAATACAGGGGTGATACTGCACAAAATGATGGGAACATCTAAATGACATCAGTCATGAGGAAATTTAGTCTTCCCAGAAATCTGTTGCTGCCAGCACATTCTTTATGCCACAGACCTCATTGATCAAACAATCAAAGTCACTAGAAACTACTTTGCTTTGCCATTCTGGCCACCCCGGTTTTTTTTTTGCTTGGGGCGGCCAAAAAGCCAGAGCCGGCCCTGTGCCTCAATAATAGCCATCTTAATTTTCAAAAACTGGTTCAACATGTTCCCCTTACTGTACGTGACCTTCTTCAAAGTCTTCTACACTAAAAATAAAGCATAATGATCAAAATAATAATGAAAAGGTGATAAATTAGGTTCTCTTCATAAAGCAGGGACATATGTTATATACCTAGAAAACAGAAATAAAATTGCTGATCAGTATTACCTAGAATAGAAAACGGAGCTGAGTATCCCCAATGTCAATAAATCTTATATTCATCAGATGGGTATATGTTATAACAGATGTATGATTACAATGTGAATTTGAAATCCAAGGTTGTAAATTGCACTTGGACTTACAAAGTTTATCGCAGGGAAAATTACATTAGCTGAACTTTGTTTAATGTTTACAGAAAAAGACAGGTCAAATACAAAGTGTATGCACTGTTCAAACCAATTAATCACTGGTATCGTTGAACAAGGGTGTGCTTAATTTGTAAAGGCTGAAGCAGATTCTAGGAAAATAGTCTATTCTTAGAATTTTCCAAGGGAAAGTAAATAAATAGTCTGCTTTTTAAGAGCTTCAGACAGCAATTAAATATTTAAAAATACATAATTTATATTTCTGTCTCTTGCATTTACCCAAGTTAAATCACAGTCCACTAGGATGAATCCATTTCTTTATAGCTTCCAAATAATTTTTCTATTTCTATCTATTACTGTGTCCAAAGTTCTTCCTAAATCAGTATAATCTGTGAATCAATCAAATATAACAATTTACTACTTAGTCCATATTTTAATGGCAACACTTAACATTACAAATCCCAATGCTGATCCCTGTGGAAACTTCTCTTGATAAAAATAATTCTGTTTATGATCTAGGATAGGACAGAAAAACTCGAGACCTATATGAAAATAATTCTACTAACATTAGTCTTTTGTAAAGCTATTTTTTTTAAAACAACTGAAATTTTGTGACTAAAGCTAGTATTATTAAGCCCCTAATTTGCTAGGTAGACAAAGACAATCCCTCCCTGCCCTGAAGAGCAGTCAATCTAATTGTTGTCCCTTTATTTAAAAAAAAACAACAACAACTATGTAACAATTAATTCTAGCTTTTAAAAACTGGGATGACTTTTAAAAAAAAAATTTGGGTTATCACACACGTGGACTATGTTTCAGCAGGTCACTTTAATAAGTCTTCCTGATCTGTTAGAGTTTGTCATTTAATTCGGTCTCTATACCATGTGCATTATGCTAACTTTCCAATTAGAAAGTTAATTCCCATGTGGGAATTAAGCATATCAATTAGTGGTGCCTTATAGTGAGTTTTCACTATGAATTATTATTAGCTTCCACTAGAAAATTGACAATGTTTCTTTGCCTAGTGATCAATTTGCCAACTTTAGAGGAATACCTCTAGATAGCCTCCCAGTGTTATAATGTAGGAAACCACAGGACACTGGTGTGCTCAAACAATTTTTACAGTGGGGGTGCTGAGAGCCTGTATATAATGGAAACCACTTCAAGCCAAAGGGTGTGGCAGCATGTCCAGCACTCCTTGTTCCAGCACGTATGATAGGACACATACAATAATTTTCAATACAGTCTTCTTTCAATAGAGACTTTAATATATTGGACCTTAGTGATATTTATTTAATAAGGAAACAGAAAAGTCCTTGCACTGATAGACTAAGAAGCATTTTAGTTTGTACATAAAAAACAATGGGGCAAAACTGGACTATATTTCTACAGTACTTGCTCTCCAATTTTGGGAAAGTGACCATCACATTCAAATCTCGTCTTTCATTAATTAATATTTGCTTTGAATATATAAAGCTTTCCATATGAGCTAAACACTATTATGAATACTTATATTTCTAGCTACACTCTTCATTTGCTGTGTGTTTTTATACCCCTTCTATTGGTGCAATTCTTATCTAATATCTAACAAAGGATTAGAGCAATAGAATATTTATAACAGGGGTTCTCAAACTGGGGGTCGGGACCCCTGAGGGGGTCGTGAGGTTATTACGTGGGGGGGGTCGCGAGCTGTCAACCTCCACCCCAAGCCCCGCTTTGCTCCAGCATTTATAATGGTGTTAAATATATTAAAAAGTGTTTTTAATTTATAAGGGGATCGCACTCAGAGGCTTGCTATGTGAAAGGGATCACCAGTAAAAAAGTTTGAGAGCCACTGATTTATAAGATTGTATATACATAGTTTAAAATAGAAAACTTAACGGAATTGCTATTCTTTTACCTATGTCATTAAATATTTCAAAAACTTCAAAAAATAATCACACGTACATAAAGAAGTACACTCCTTTCACTTTGCAAAATATGAGCCCAATCCTGATACTACTGAAGTCAAAAGCAAAACTTCTGCTGATTTCAATGGAAGCAGAGTTAGCCTTTAAGAAAGATACATATGGTGCTGAATGAAACTAGTCAAGAATCCAGTTAGGAAGCAATCACATTACCTGCAGGGTGGGATACGCTGATTCGTTTGAGGGTCACATTTTGGCACCAAGATTGTACAGGCAAAAAACATAAGGTACTTGTAGCAGTTAGTCTGAACCAAGGCTGGAAAAAGGGAAGATTCCCAGCTGATGGAGGCTTCCTTCTGAGTCCTATGGCCCAAGTAGTTTGGGTAGTTAGTATAGTTGTAAGGCAGGTTCATGCAGAGTTCCAGAGTAATTGGTTCACACTGACCTTTTGAAAGAAAAGAACATACATTCTGTAAAACGAGATGAAACCCAAAATAAATAATTACAAGATTCTGATTATTTAAACCAGTTATACTCTCTCTGACCTCCTAAAGTAGATCTTGTTTTACATAGCCCAAGGTGGCTTGTGAAGTTTCACCAAGTGACCATTAACCTCTCTAATCTTTAATACAAAGATGTAGTTTATAATAACTACAGGTCCTTGAGTGCAGTGGTCCATACGAAATTAGTCACATCAGCAAGGGAAGGAAACTTCGATCTCTACATAGCTAGTCAGTTAATCACAACCTTCATAGTTATACTTACCAAGGTCTTTCTGTATCATAACTTTTGGACGCTCATTTATAAAAAGGAACAAAAAAAAACTATTACATGAGCTAATTCTTTTCAGCTAATAACTCTTTAAACATCAAGAGTTTTTATATAGAACTATCAAAATACAGCAGATTGGAAAGCATTTCATCAACATTCCTCCCACTCCCAAATTAACTAGAGTGTTTAGCAGAATAAAGAATATTATTTCTATTACACTGTACCCCGAAGCCCCGATCAAGATGGAGTCCCATTGGACTAGGCACTGTACGAACACGTAGTAAGAGGCAGTCACTGCCCCCACAAGCTTACAGTTTAAGACAAGTGAATGTAATTAACAAAACAGGAAGATACATAGGGGGAGAACAAGGGTACCAAGTATGCACGGTTATGCAGGCTAGCTATATGTTTAATTAGCAGGTTTTGAGGGGTTTTATAACATAAATAGGGCTGGTCAGAGAATTATAAGTTTTTCCCAAGAAAAACTGTTAAAGAAATGGAAAATCTGGACCTTAAAAAAAAATTTTTTTTTCATTTTATCAAAAGAAAAGGAAAAATATTTTAAAAATTAAAACAAATATACATTTTAATTCAATTTGAGATTAAAATTTTCATTTAGAATTGAATCAAAATTAACATTTTGTTTCATTTAAATGAATATTTTTTTAAATGAAAATTTTCCAGGAAGAATTTTGTATCATTTGATACCCCATATTTCATTGGAAAAAAGTTTTGATTAGCTCTGTAAACAAACAAGATATGTTAATGATGTTAGTAATCTCCGCTGGCCACCTGCCTAGCCATTATCAGTTCACAGTTTACTGTAAGTATCATTATACAGGTGAGTCTTGAGGAGAGATTTGAAAGAAGATTCAGTAGTATCTGATAATCTTGCCTGACCTGACAGTCCCTAGTGCAACCTCCTTAAGCAGTCACCTCTCTAATATAAGAAAGACTCAGATGACAGTAGGAAGTCCTGAGATCTAGTTTTGGTCTGTGTCGGACCTTGACACACTGCCTTCATTCAACTATGTATGTTGTGCCATGCAATGTAGTGTAGGCAGATCCAATTTTGGAGCATGTTAGGTTGCCCATTATGTCCTGACTTGGTTGTGCACTAGCACAAGTCAATAGTATTTCTAAATTCATAAATGCATACAGCTGAAACCATACTTATTGCCCTTGAAGTTAAGTTGTTTTCTAGCTGAATCTAGATGGGAATGAGTGGCAAAAAGTTGTTGGCTCCCATGTGGACACAGAATCCATAGGAATCTTAAGAGGGAATTCTCTATTTTGTATTTAAATTATCAACTATAACATGTAGTAGATTTAGGGTTTTTTTCTCATCCTCAACTGCAAGTAAAACAAGTTTTATGTTTGGAAATTAAAACATAGCTCAGACTTAGAATTGACAGTAATTAGGGCATAAAACCACGATGGAAACCTCTCAAGCCACATTAGTCACATGATGTTAATGTGACAATACTGCCTGAAAATGTAAATATTTATAGCATGTATGGCAAGAATACTGAGGAAAGGTAAGGGGAGGTCAAATTCAATTCCAAATTCTCTTAATAGTGTGTGGTCTGGAATGAGGTTATTTTGTGGAGTTGAGACAGATAAAAAGACCTGAAATTGATTTGCTTTGTGCACCTAGACAGCAAATTCTTGAATGCATAAAAGTATTTTTCTTGGGCTCTGAACAGCTTATTCATCTTACTGTTGAGTCTGCATATTTAGTGCTTACTATCATTCATTCCCCCTCTAACTGCTTCACAGCTTAACTCATTCTTTGCACTATTGATCAACAGTATAACTGATTGACTCATGGAATAGAAGATAATTACTCATGACCAGTCACCTCTCACCTGTTGCTCTGTCCACCACCTTTCTCTCTTCCATTTCTCACATTCACACATATAATCAGTTCACATACCTCCTCCGCCTCCCGCCACATACACCCAATCTTCTGCCATTCTTCTTTGTCTCCAGCAACATCCACCCCAGTCCCCTTCCTTACTCTCCTGCTGCTGCTTCTGGTATACCCTCTCCATCTATGTCTTCACCTCCTGGTCCCTCCATCTCCTGGCTCTCTGAGAAACCTGACTCTTCACTTTCTGGCACTGCCTCTACCACTTCTCTTTCTTACAGTGGTTTCTCCTCACACACATACATACCCTGAATACACAACTGAATTTCTTCATATTGTTGAAATGTTTGCATTTATTTTCACAGTGTTCCTTTTTCAGGTATTGGCCTCTTTTTTATGCATTGAAACAACGAGGAGTCTGGTGGCATCTTAAAGACTAACAGATTTATTTGGGCATAAGCTTTC